TACAATAAGTCATAGCGTGACCGTGCTCGGGCGGGGACTGACACGGGAATCGGTAGCTTGCGCCCCTCCACAGTGCGGCGCGACCACAGCGCCGGATAGCGTCGGTATCGATACCCAACATCTCCCCCCTTGGGAAGTTACCGCTGAGAGTAACTTTTAGCGGATGGATCCAAGATTAGTCTTTTCGGAGCCATCCGATTACGAGCGGGTCTAGCCGGCGTCGACTGGTTTACAGGAGGGTTAGGTTCCTGAATGATTGGGGTCTGGGCTGCAGGGGATGCAGCCGGCTGGTGATCAACTTCCAAAGTAGGAGGCGTCTCCGGCGTGGGCGGCTGTAGGAGCGACCAGTCGTCCATCTCTCGGGCCGGGTTGACGGGTCGGAACCTCCCTTCCAGATATGATTGATGTGGCGGTCAATGACTCTTCCGTCTTCAAGGCGTACAGAGTAGCGAGTTTGTGATAGTACTTTATGAATAACGCCTTGTCTCTTTTGTCCTTGCGAGTAAGGACTATTACGCGGTCGCCTAACGTTAGGTAAAGGGGTCGGGCGCCATGATGTTTCAAGAACTGCTTCTCCATGGCTAGCTGTTTCTCGGCAGAGGCTGGTGGAGCAGGCTCGTGAGTCTCAAGCTTCGGGAGCAATTTCGAGAACGGGGAGTTTATTCGACGTCCGAACAAGAGCTCTGCAGGAGACTTTCCTGAGGGCGATTCTGAGCATGGAGTGTAACGGTAGTTGTGCAGAAAATCAAACAGCTGTCTCTTCCAATTAGTCGGGTCCTTGGCGATGGCCCTTTTTACCGTGTCCACCATCCTCTCGGCCTGGCCATTCGATTGCGGGTGGTTGACCGCAGCCAGGAGGTGGGAGATCTGCATTTCCTTGCAGAAAACAGCGAATAGTTCTGATGTGAACTGTGTTCCATGGTCGGTGACGAGCACCTCTGGTGGTCTGAACCTGGAAAAGAATTCACGACACAAATTGACAGTGCGGGCTGAAGAAATCGTGGGTGTAATTGCCACGCCTAAAAACTTGGAGTAAGCGTCTACAAAAATGAGTAGATATTGCCCTTCAATTGGACCAGCAAAGTCGATGTAGACGCGTTTCATTGGTCGGGACGGAGCAGGCCATGGATCAAGTGGTACTTTGATTGGGAGTTTCTGGTTCAGCGCACAGGCGTCACATTGACGTACAAGGTGTTCAATGTCGTCGGACATTTTCGGCCAGTACACGAATTCTCGAGCTAACTGCTTTGTCCTTCTAATGCCGGGATGGCCCTTGTGAAGAGCTGCTAGAATTGTTGGCCTGAGAACCTCTGGGATGACCACTCTGTCTCCGAAAAGTAAGGTGTCATCAACGATACTGAGATCTTCTGAGCGTCTTTTAAAATATTCAAGTGACTCCGAAACTTCTTTTGTCTTCCAATCTTCACTGATGGCTTGGAAAACCGAACGTAAGAAAGGATCTTTCTTTGTTGCTTTTTTCAGATTATTCCGGAGTTTCTTACCAAAGAAGTCTATTGATCGATTTTTTAACTGGAGAAGCTCCGATTCCATTGCTTGGATGCTAGCTACTTGGAGTTCCTCCGCGTTATCACGACGAAATTTGTCGATCAAACAAGATAGGGCATCGGCATGACCAAAATCTTGAGTGCGGATAAACTCTATTTTGAAGTCGTAGCCCATGAGTCGCAGTGCCCAACGTTTGAGCCTAGCTGCTGTAGTAGCTTTGAGTCCCTTGGTGTTCTCAGTTTGCAGTAGGGCCACGAGGGGTTTATGATCCGTTTGAAGTATAAATCTTCTTCCCCAGACGAATTTATGGAATCGTTTGACGGTTGTGACGAGCGCGAGGGCCTCTTTTTCGAGCTGGGAGTAGTTCCTTTGAGCGTCGGTAAGGCTCTGCGACATATGGTAGACTGCACGTTCATGGCCGTTTGAGTCTCGTTGAAGAAGAACGGCGCCAATTCCAGTGGCACATACATCTGCTGCCACTTTCAGCGTTTTCGATAGATCGTAGTGATCCAGTAGAAGAGGGCTGAGCATGACCTTCTTGATTTGATTGAAAGCGAGATCATGAGTCTGGTCCCATAACCATGTGCGATTTTTTCGTGTGAGATCTTCAAGTGGCTGTTTCATTTCATGTAGATGAGAGATGAATTTGCCATAATGATTCACCATTCCTAGGAAGCTTTGTACCTCCGGAACCGAGATAGGCTTTGGCATGCTCGCTATGGCACTGGTTGCTTCTGGATCAGCTGAT